TAGGAATGGAAGAGACTATCGAGAGAGTTTGGTACAAGTGAAAGCCCTAAGGGGTTGTACCCTACATTGGCTACCCCACTACAGCCTACATAATCTAGCATAGCATATACAGTTTGACAGGATGCCTACGACGCGGACCGTCACGATCGCCTTGCCGCTGCGGCAGCGCTTCGTTTCATTGTGGCATGCCACCTTGTACCACGCGCCGCAGCGCTTGCCAAAGAGGGCGGGAGGAAGCTTCGTGATGAGCCCCTTGCCGAAGTACTGTTTGGCGTTATAGCTCCCGTAGTAGGCGCATGTGGGGTTCTTTCCTTCGCCCACACCCTTGCTCTTCCTCGCAGTCGCCATTCCGACTGTGCTGCTACCAATTTTGGTGGCGTTTCCAGTCGCGTTGGCAGGCGCAACTGCCTTAGCAGGAGTCGTCGCGTTAGCAGGTGCAGTCGTGTTGGCGGCGGCAAAGACCCGCGCAGGGGTGGAAAAGAGCACCGTTGAGCAGAGGACGACTACGAGGAAAGTGGTCTTAGCGGGAGACATTTTCACTTCTGTTTTGTACTGTAATAAGCTAACCGTTCTAGCTGGTGCAATGTGACGGAATGTAAGGTGAGAGAATAAAGATGGTTAGCACTTGTAATGAAATGAAGCACATTCCCAGCTTCTATTTATCGTACGGTTCTGCTCATTTGACTGCCGTGAGTCGCGGGTTTGGCTTTGCTGTAAGCAAACTTCTATAGTATGGAATCCGAGTCGCACGGAATTTGCGACTGATAATTGCTCTGATTTTTGGGGACTTGGTTCGTTTCACAACCAACATTTCTGCGAAAAAATGCGGTTTGGGAGTGTGATCTGGTGAGCAATAGGCGCTTTCGCGAAAGTTTTTCGAACTGACGAAAGTGCGAGCAGCAGCACGTGTTCAGTCGCTCGCAAAGAATAATTCCGCAATACAACGATCGCGATTCGGTGGGACATGATCCTTTCATCTCGCGCATGAGGCGGCGTAATGGACGCAAATCTGGGTGTCCGTCCGACCGAGTTGTCAGTTGGAGGTGTAGGGTGTGGCTCAGATAGGCCCTGTTCTGTTGCCGCACTACTTGTGCGGACCCCTCCGCACATCACCAGGTGATGCTTCGACAGGGCTTCTACGGGTGATCCTCAAAGCTTCCTTTTCAAGGGCGTATTCCTTGAAACAGGCTCAAAACCCTGAACTCCATCCCGAACCTGGCCAGTGCTGTGCTGTGCCGTGTGTCGAGATAGTAGGAGTAGTGAATGGATGACTATCGAGAGAGTTGGGTACAAACTAGGAACAAGGGGTTGTACTTCATAGTGGCTACCCCACTACAGGCTAGATAAATAACCCAAGCATATATGTTTGACACACCCCCATAGGCAAAGTGGGGGAGAACAAGGGGTCATAAGACCAGTCAAGAAAATCAAAGCAAGCTCAGAGTGGATCACGAAGTCACCACGCATTCTGAGCACAAGCAAATGGCCACAAGGTCAGTTCACATGCAGAGTTATATATAAAGGAGAACAAGTAGTACAGTGATCACAACCTAGCAAGTGTAAGCATGCAGGTATAAGTATATATAGATCACAGTGCAAGCAAAGTCAAGAAGTGAGCAAGTGAGGCCAAGTAGGCACAAGGCCTAGAGGAGTACAGAAACGCTGATGATCACAAGGCGGAAGTGCCTTGGTGAAGATATCAGCAGTGTTGGCCTGAGAGACCACGTAAGCAAGACGAAGCTGACCACGCTGCTGCACTATCGAGCAAGGAAGTACCGCAGAGCGATGCGCTTCGTTCTGTGCTCAAGTCTGTGCTCCTGACACAAGGCAATCCTGGCCTTGCTGTCGACGTACAGAACTGGAGGAGAACGAGGCGCCTCTCCCAAGTCGGTCAGCAGGTAGGTGAGCCAGCGTAGCTCCTGTGCAGCCATGGCCCCTGCGTAGATCTCAGCCTCACAGCTGGAGCTGAGAACAGAAGACGAGCGGGTAGACCACCACAAAACAGAACCGGAGCCAAGGCTGAACTAGTAACCCTGTGACGACCGCTGCGTAGCCAAGTCGTCAACCCAAGAAACGTCTGCGTGACCAGTGAGGACAACTCAAGCCCGTCCTCCAAGCACGGTCCCCATGCCCGACGTACTGCACAAGTAGCGCATCACCCTCTTAGCGGCCTTCCATTGCTCTGGTCGGTGTCTCCCGGGCGCAACGTAGGGTGCCAGGATGCTAAGAGGGTAAGCAAGGTCAGGTCGAGTGCAGGTCATCAAGTACATGAGACAGCCCACAAGCTCTGGATACGGGCCACTCGGCTCTACGGACTCATTCGAAGGCAGAACTGAGAGGGAGTGACCAGTAGGCAGAGGAGTGGACAGTGGCGAGGAGTACTGGAAGTCGAAGCGCTGAAGGACATGCTGCACCATGTGTGACTATGTCAAGGTAATGGTGCGCCGTGCTCTGTCTCGGGTGATCTGCAAGCCAAGATAGCTGCGCAGCTCACCCAGGTCTGTGCACATGTGTCTCTTCTGCAGCTCCGACTTCACGTGGGCGAGTCCCTCAGTGTCAGCAGTGGCAAAGACCAAGTCGTCGACGTACACGAGGATGTAGAACGGCGGCAGCGAAGTGTCGATGCGTAGAAACAGCGACGGGTCAGCAGTCGAAGGAGCAAACCCAAGAGCCGCAAGAGTCGTCCTCAGTGTGTCGTGCCACTCGCAAGGCGCCTGGCGGAGACTGTAGACTGGCTGGCGGAGGCTTCACTGGGTACCTGCAGGAAACGACCCAGTGAAGCCAGGTGGGCGGCGCAGCCACCTGTAGGAATGCTGTGCTGAAGTCAAGAGAGTGAAGCTCGTAGTCACGCTGAGCAGCGACGTGCAGCAGAACCCGAAGAGTGGTTATCTTCGGGGTAGGGGAGAAGGTCTGGAAGAAGTCAACTCCCTGTCGCTGACTGAAGCCTCGTGCGACGTAACGCGCCTTGAAGACAGGCGGAGAACCCGGCGGCCGCTTCATCCTGAAAATCCACATGCCACCGACGATGTTCGCCCCAGGTGGGGGAAACTCGTCGACGTAAGTGCTAGTGGACTTCCAGGATGCCATCTCTGCGTCCATAGCTGACTGCCACTGAGAGGAGTAGGGACCCTCTATCGCCTCTGCGTAAGAGCGCGAGGTCGGGATGTCTGGTGCATCCGGGTCTCCCTCAAGGGCAATCAGCATGGACACGAGATGAGGTACAGTGGCTGCAAAGCACTCAACGTCCTCTTGTCTGTCCTCAAGGACGTCCGTGCCAAGAGCACACTCACCCCCGACGGACGGAGGACAGACAGACTCAGACTCTGCAACAAGACTAGCGGCGTAGTCTAGACGACAGCGAGCAGCAAAGTCGACAAGCTCAGCAACTTAGGCAGACACAGCAGTAGACTCAAAGGAGGGGTCAGTGACAACAGTCGCAAGGAGACGCGTGACAGTAGGACTGGTAGCACGAACTAAGTCAGACTCAGGGTCCGCACCCTCCGGGAGAGAGGACGCAGGAGGCGACGGCAGTGGGACACGCTGTGGAGCAGAAGAAGGACGAAGCCCCATAGTGTGTGTGCCAGGGACAGGATGAGGACGCTGACGACTAGTGCGAGCAGTGCGAACAGGTGAGGCAGGGCGAGACTCGGGCTCACGACGCTCTGTAAGCGAGGCTGGCTGCTCAGTGTAGGGGGTAGGAGCGGGCAGTGGGGAGCCGGGCTGTAATGGTAGGCCAGTAGAAGATGGAAGGCTAAGGACCTGACGAAGTACCGTGTCGGGCGGCGGCAAACTCGACGGCGTCGGAGGAGAGAAGAACAGTCGCGTCGGTGCGGTACCCCCAGCACCAGCACCTCCAGTAGCAGCACCCCTAGAACCGGTACCTCCAGCTCCAGGGTCTCCAGCTCCAACACCTCCAGCAGCAGCACCCCCAAGACCGGTACCTCCAGCTCCAGGGTCTCCAGCTCCAGTACCTCCAGCAGCAGCACCCCCACGACCGGCACCTCCAGCTCCAGGGTCTCCAGCTCCAGTACCTCCAGCAGCAGCACCCCCAGAACCGGCACCTCCAGCTCTAGGGTCTCCAGCTCCAGCACCTCCAGCAGTAGCACCCCCAGAACCAGCAACTCCAGTTCCAGGGTCTCCAGCTCCAGCACCTCCAGCAGCAGCACCTCCAGAACCGGCACCTCCAGCTCCAGGGTCTCCAGCACCACCGGCCCAAAAGAACGGAGAACCGGTAGTGCTGTGCTATCCCCTCCCCCCAGGCAAACTGGGTGCGAGACTAGTGCTACCCTGGTTCCGACTCGGAGAGGGGACCCAGGGATAGCACAAGTAGTTCTAGGCAGAGATAATACGGTACCGGTAATTTCTCTTGTCCTGGTTGGCCCTTTTGCTGTCAGACCATCCAACCATCCAATGGTTGCTCGCGAGAGGAGGTTTGACGGTCTGCAAAGGAAAAAACAACCATTGCCCTGAATATGCGCGGAGGGTGGCATCTGGTTGCGTGGAAGCATTCAATCGCACAGCTGGTGCTGCTGTGCTGTGCTGTCCCCCTCCATTTGCCAGAATGTGTAGCTGGAATGATGGTTGATATAGTTTGGTACGCCTGGCCAGTTTGGAAATTGTCTCAATAGAATAAATGATCACATAGCTACCTTCAAAGCACCCCTCATATTGAAAGATTGAACAGTGTACTGATGCTTCCTTAAAAAGCACCAGAGAAGAGAGTTAGTTAATATATTTCCAGTAAAACACCATCCTAGTTTTGTTCGAAGAACTCACCACACCAAAATAATCCTACTGGCAATATTCTTCCCTCTATCCACCCACAACCATGCCACAGAAACAAACCATCCTTCCTAAACTGAGAAACACGCGGACAGAGCATGTTATCATGCAATGTGCCAGCTGTCAACAGTTCTTACACCACACTTGGTCTGAGCATGAGGTACTATACTGTAAGGTGTGAACTGGGAGAGGTGAGTGCCAACTGGGGGAGGTACTATCTAAGCCACAGGCGGCCGGAGCATGTGGTCCTGGGAGGTGTCAACTGAGGTAGGCGCCATCCACTGCCACATGGCCATGGGCGGCGGGCCGCCCGCAAACACCCCTGGCTGATGCATCGGCTGAGGCACAGGCTGACCCACCGGATGGGACACGGCATGCGACACAGCAGCAGCAGTCATGGGAGTAGGCATAGGAGCAGACATAGGTGCAGACATGGTTGCGGTCATGCCGCCCATGTGTGCTCCCTTGGGAGTGCCAAGAGCCATCTGCTGGCACTGCTGCATCTGAGCCGCATACGCAGTAGCAGCTGCATGCATGGCCGCAGCGTGGGGGTGCGGCTGGTACGCCATGGGTGTGGCGGGCGCGGTGGGTGGAGAGTGGTGGAGAGGGATGGCGGTGACGGGGATGGCGGTGGTGGGAGTGGCGGGGTGGGTGGGGGTAACAGCAGCGGCAGCTGCTGCAGCAGCAGCGGAGCCGTTGACATGCTGCTGAAGCTTCTCACTCTCGGCCTTCAGCCGGGCCTTCTCCTCACGTAACTCGTGCTTCTCAGCCTGCACGGACAGATGCAAGAGCAGGGAGAGAAAGGGAGAGGAAGGGAGAGGAAGAGAGAGTTGGTTGTGGGAACTTCAAACGCAGCGGAGCGGTTGAGGTGCTGCTGAAGCTTCTCACTCTCGGCCTTGAGTTGGGCCTTCTCACAGAGCTCGTGCTTCTGTGCCTGCACAGATGGATGGACGGGAGGGAAGGGGGACAGGACACCAGAGGAGGGAGGGGAAGGAGAAGGAAAAAGGAGAGGAAGGAATCAAGCTTTGAGACGAATTTAGGCCAGGCCTTCTCCTCGCATGAATCGTGCTCGGCGCACGGGGAAGAGAAAGAGTTGCTTGTGGGTATTCTCACATGCAGCAGTGTCTACCTGTTGTGCTTATAAAAGAAGATTTTCCAGACTGACTCACTCCCAGCAGCGCTTATCCCTCTGCTGTTCTGCCTCTTAGAAAACCTCATATTTTTCATTACCGGAAGGCATGGTGGCACTTCTGCACGGCCACGTGGTCTGCCTCACTTCCATGGCCACCTTCCTCCCCCAATTCATCTCCTCTCTCTCCTCCCACCCTCCCCCCCCCACCCCCACCAACGCACCTTGAGCTCCTTGATCTGCTCCTGCAGCGCCGCATTGCTCTCCTTGAGGGCAGCATCACCACAACCCCTCCCCACCCAGCACAACCCCCTGCACACCCCTCCCCCCCACAGCCCCCCAGCCCCCCACGCACCTTGAGCTCCTTGATCTGCTCCTGCAGCGCCGCGTTGCTCTCCTTGAGTGCCTCTCGCTCGGCGCGCAGCTGCGAGAGCACGCGCACCGCGTCACACAGGATGCTCGCCTTGTCCGCCTTAGGCGCTTTCCCTGGTTCCAGTGACCGGCTCAGCTCCAGGAACCTGTGGTCGGGGGAAGGTGTTGGAGGGGGGTTGTGGGATGGGAAGATGAAGGGTATTCTGACAAGTTACCACTGCCCCTTGCCAGGTTCCAATGACCAGCTCAGTTCCAGGAACCTCTGAGGGAGCCGTGTAAAAAGGGGGGTGTGCGATGGGCAGTGCAGCTGGGAGAGCACGCGGACCGCGTCACACAGGATACTCGCTTTGTCCGCCTTGGGCGCCTTGCCTGGTTCCAGTGATCGGCTCAGCTCCAGGAACCTGCAGCACGGTGGCAGTGAGGTGGGAAGGGAGCGGTTGGGATGGGAAGGGAGCGACTCTCAGTACGCTGATGCATCGACTGAGGCACGGGCTGACCCACCGGCTCCAGTGACCGACTCCCAGTACGCCTTGCTGGGCTCCAATGGCTCACTCACTCCAGAAACCTGGAGAAGGGAAGAGGGGGGCGGGGAAAAGGAGGGAGGGGTGGGGGTATGAAGGGCACTCTGATAGATCCCACTACGTCTTGATAGGCAATGGCAGTGTGGGCGTGTGTGTGTGTGTGTGTGTGTGTGTGTGTGTATGTGTGTGTGTGTGTGTGTGTAAGAGAGAGTGTGTGTGTGTGTGTGAGTGTGTGTGCGTGTGTGAGTGTGTGTGTGTGTGAGTGAGTGTGTGTGTGAGTGTGTGTGTGTGTGTAAGAGAGTGTGTGTGAGTGTGTGTGTGTGTGTGTGAGTGTGTGTGTGAGTGTGTGTGTGTGTGTGTGTGTGTGAGTGAGTGTGCATGTGCACGTGTCACCACTACCATCTGTCATCTGCCAGCTTCTACCTGGCAATGCAATGCCACACTCATGATTACATCGGTCGCACAACCACTAACCTACCGTTTCAGGGTAATTCTGAAAAATTCTCAAGAATACATACACCGCATCTGTCGCATATTCAGTAACCAGCCATGCCACCTCTCTCCCGCCATGGAGTCAGCATCCACCTGCCACCCTGTCACCGAATGACCACCTGCCACGTGTCACCTGTCATTGAGTCGGTCGCGTCTCATCTTCTCCCGGTTGGCCTTGCTGCATGACACGTCAGCGGTGGCCGCGCCCTCATCCCGCGACCTGGCACACGGAGAACGACAACGCAAGAGCGTGGCAGGGCGGGGAGGTGGTAGCAAAACTCAAGAACGAATCGTGAGTCAACCAAAGCGACACGTGGCAACCAATGGCGACACGACACGACGGCAAAGACAGGTCAGCACGACCTGCCTTCCCTCTCGCACTTACCTGTCTCCTTTCGCTCTCGCTCTTTTCCCCTCACCCTTTCCTCTCATCACTCCCTCTCGCCCTCCCCTTGCATCCCCCCTTCCCCTCATCGCTTCCGGCTGCTCGACCCGTCTACTCACATTCCTCCATGCCCCTGCCGCGCCGTCACTCTCGGCGCCATAGACAATCCACACCCCCCTTCCTCACTCAACCGCCCTCTCCCTCCAACACCTTCCTTTCCCCCACCCCCTCTCCCCCCTTCTCCCACGTTTCTCTTCCCCCCACCCCCTCTTCCCCTTCCTACCCCGTCTCTCCCCTACCCCCCACCCCCTACCTCCCCCGCCCATACCTCTTCCTGCTGCTGGAACCCGTCTTTTCGCCTTCCTCCGTGTTGCCGCCGCCGCCCTCGGCGCTGCACATGCGCGCAGGACAGGGGGGGAGGGGAGAGGAGAGAAGTGGGGGAGGGGAAGGGAGAGGAGAGGAGTGGGGATGGGAGGGGAGAGCGGAAGGGCGACGAGGGGAGGCGTGGGGATGGAGGAGGGGAGAACGGAGGGGAGAGGAGCGGGAGGGGAGATGGAACTGAACGGGTGATGGATGAATGGTGTGGCGCGGCACTGGTCCACAGGAGGAGGGATTGCGTACGGGGACACTGAGCGACGGAAGGACTGACGGATAGAGTACGGGAACAGTGAGTGACTGAGAGTTTGACTTTTGAGTCGACTCAAAAGTCAGTACGGCGACACTGAGAGACGGAAGGACTGACGGATAGAGTACGGGAACAGTGAGTGACTGAGAGTTTGACTTTTGAGTCGACTCAAAAGTCAGTACGGCGACACTGAGAGACGGAAGGACTGACGGATAGAGTACGGGAACAGTGAGTGACTGAGAGTTTGACTTTTGAGTCGACTCAAAAGTTAGTACGGCGACACTGAGAGACGGAAGGACTGACGAATGGAGTACCAGAGCGACCTCCATGACCAAGCCAATGCGGCGCTCAGCAACCCCATTTTGCTGCGGTGAGCCCAGAAGCGTGAACGACTGCTCGATGCCCTCCCCCTGACAGAAGGCCCGCAAGAGGTCGGAGGTGAACTCACCACCTCTGTCAGAGTGCAGACGCAGGACAGGAAGGTCCTGGCGGAACGTGCGGCGGAGCTGGAGATGAACTGCTCGGATCCAAGGGATCATGACAGCAGGGACCTCACCCTTGGTGCGCAAGGGGAAGATCGTGGTGTAACGCGAGTAGTCGTCGACAACCAGCAAAAAGTACCGCTCACTGCTCTGTCCACGAATGCGGGCTGGGCCCCACACGTCCAGATGGAGGGTCTGCAGAGGAGCCTCTGTCAGGGGAAACGAGGAGGAGTGAGGAGCGGCGCGCTGCCGCCCCTCGACGCAAGGAAGGCAGGGCGGCGCAGGCGAGGCAGGGAGGGGAGGGAGAGATCTGGGAAGACCAGACACAAGGAGACGACGGTGCATGCCACGGAGACGTGGCAAGGAGGGGTGACCCAAGCGGTGGTGCCAGAGAAGAGTCTGGTGTGACAGGGAGCGACACTCACAGGGGGAGGCTACCTGACCTGACGTAGACACCTGACCAGTAGCAGCTACCTGAGGAGGCGCAGTCGTCAGCGTGTAAAGGCTCGACCCTGGCCGACGGGTAAACGTGGCCAGGTGGCGGCCGGACTGGGAGCACGTACAGATCGCCACACGCTGCCGACCAGGGGTGAAGTTGTCAACCCCCGCATCCTGGAGGAAAGCAGTGCTCACCAAGTTCGTAGAGAACGAGGGGAGGTGGAGACCTGACAGAGAGTCAGACGGAACCGCCGAGCACGGGAGCACAGTGGTGGATCGTGCAAGAACTGGGCCCCCTGAGGGGTCAGCCAGAGAGACTGCAACAGGTGCAGGGAGTGGTGTGAGTGCAGTACTGTCACGAAAGAAGCAGCAGGAAGCACCTGAGTCAAGCGTGAAGGTGTGCAAGACCTCAGCAGGCGCAGTACCTGAGAGAGTAGACTCGCTCGCACCTAAGGCAGTAGCCTCACCAGCACGTAGAGTACCAGTCTCTATACCGGGGTCAGGCGGCACACACAAGTAACAGTCACCATCAGCACTAATCTCCAATGCATTCATGGCAGTAATAATAGCATCATAGTCAAGAGCAAAGATGTCTATACCAGCCCTAAGCAGCTCATACCAGTGAGGGCGCTCATAGTCCTCGCCCATCTCCTCACGCCAGGCATCGTCGAGGCGGGAGAAGCAGCGGTGCTGGGTGTGGAACTTCCCGCATGTCTGACCCTTGCGGTCACCTGTGTGAATGACATACGGGCAGCGACCACCACCCCCAGTCCTCCAACGCTGAGCAAGCCACTCACGAAGCTGCTGGGTCGTCTGGGTACTCTGCTGCTGCTGCTGCCTCTGACCAGCGCTTGTGCCTCCACCCCGACCGCCACCCCCACCGCCACTACCGCCCCGGCCGCCACCGCTGCTGCCTCCGCCGCCGCCAACGCCGCTGCCACCCCCTCCGCCACCACCGCCTCCACCGCTGCTACCGACGCTACCACTCCCGCCAGCACTCCCGCCGCCACCCCCTCCGCCACCTCCTCCTCCTCCACCGCCTCCACCACCACCCCCCCCGGTGCCACCTCCTCTAATCTTGGCTCCCTTGCCCTTGCTGCTGCGGCGCCTCCCACTAGGAGCAGAAGCAGCACCAACAGACTCAGCACCAAGGTAGTCAACAGCAGCGGCAGTAGCGTAGGAAGGGGCAAGGGGAGAGGGAGAGCACCCCTCAAAGATGGGGGTGCGAGGAGCACCACGAGCAGCACCTACAGCGACAATGTTCTTCTCTGCTGCAAGGAGGTGCTCCTCTAGGAGGTCGACAGTGAGGTCGGTGGGACAGCGAGCGAGAAAGTGGTCCTTGACCGAGCTAAGAGAGTCAGGGAGACGGGTGACTATAAAGTGGAGGGTCCAGTACTCGAAGGCGGGTTTCGCCAGTGCGAAGGTGGGTAATGAGATCGGCAACTGTAGCAAAGGTTGACAGCTCAGGAAACAGGTAGGGCAGCATGAGGCGGCTAAGCTCAGCTGTGGCAGGGGAGGAGTATCGAGCAACTACAGCGTCGTACAGGGACTTAGCAGTTTTGTACTCGCCAAAATGTGTGAGCTTGGCTAACAAAAGGTGATTGCGAACGGCTAGGTGCGCAGCAGCATCATGGGTCTGCCACTGGGAACGAGCGCTAAGCTCAGCGGTGGCAGCGGGAGCGACTGAGGCACCAGACGTGTGGTCATAGAGCGAGACATTGTCCTTGCTATCGCTCATTAGGAACAGCTGCAGGTCATCTAGCCAGGTTTCGAACTGAATTGGGTGGCCCTCGGCATCGAACGACAGAACTCAAAGGGTGGCCATAGTTGCTGGCGCGGGACTAGCAGGGCAGAGCGATTGCAGGCAAGCAGCAGTAGCAGCAGCAGTAGCACTAGCAGCAGCAATAGTAGAGGCAACTAGGCAGCGCGGCTCGGCTCAGGCAGTGCAGCACGGATCGGGTGGTGCAGCGCGGCTGCAGCAGCGTAGCAGTGGCTGCAGCAGCAGTGCGGGCGGCGGGTGGGCGCATGAGGCAGCCGCGGTAGCAGGGCAGGCGGCGCACGGGGCTACAGGGGGGCGGCAGGAGCAGCTGCAGCAAGTAGCAGCAGCAGCAGCAAGGAGGAGCAGCTGTAGCAAGTAGGAGCAGCAGCAGCAAGAAGGAGCAGCTGCAGCAAGTAGGAGTAGCAGCAGCAAGGAGGAGCAGCTGCAGCAAGTAGGAGCAGCAGCAGCAACTCTGGTGCAGCAGCGCGCTAGGAGTTTAGGCAGCGCATGGGGCTACAGGCGGCTGGCAGGGCAGCAGGGCGGGCCGCACGCAGGGCCTAATGGGCGGCTGCAGTAGCAGGGCGGGCGGCGCCTAGGTGCAGCAGGCAGCCGCGGCAGCAGGGCAGGTGGTGCACGGGGCGACTAGCGGCCGGTAGAGCAGTAGGGCGGGCGGCGCACGGGGCTGCGGGGCAGCGTGACAAGCGGCGCGCGGGGCATAGCAGGCAGCCGCGGCAGGAGCAGGCGGCGCACGGGGCTACAGGGCTACGGGGCTGCTGGCGGGCGGCGCGCGGGTCGGCAAGAGCTGCGCGCGGGCTGCGTGGACGGCGGGCGGGTCGCGCGGGCTACTAGCGGGCAGCGCGCGGGCCAGCAGAGGCGACTAGCGGGTCGCGTGGGCTACTAGCGGGCGATGCACGGGCCGCACGGGCTGCTAGCGGGACGTGCGCGGGGCTAGGGCAGTGCAGGGCGCGGGGTAGCTCGGTAACCGCAAGTGATAGGTGGTGGGCCCGAAAAAAAAACGTTCCTAAGGTCCTAAGGACCTATTGCTCTTAATACCATGTTAGAGTAGGTAGCTAGGAATGGAAGAGACTATCGAGAGAGTTTGGTACAAGTGAAAGCCCTAAGGGGTTGTACCCTACATTGGCTACCCCACTACAGCCTACATAATCTAGCATAGCATATACAGTTTGACAGGATGCCTACGACGCGGACCGTCACGATCGCCTTGCCGCTGCGGCAGCGCTTCGTTTCATTGTGGCATGCCACCTTGTACCACGCGCCGCAGCGCTTGCCAAAGAGGGCGGGAGGAAGCTTCGTGATGAGCCCCTTGCCGAAGTACTGTTTGGCGTTATAGCTCCCGTAGTAGGCGCATGTGGGGTTCTTTCCTTCGCCCACACCCTTGCTCTTCCTCGCAGTCGCCATTCCGACTGTGCTGCTACCAATTTTGGTGGCGTTTCTAGTCGCGTTGGCAGGCGCAACTGCCTTAGCAGGAGTCGTCGCGTTAGCAGGTGCAGTCGTGTTGGCGGCGGCAAAGACCCGCGCAGGGGTGGAAAAGAGCACCGTTGAGCAGAGGACGACTACGAGGAAAGTGGTCTTAGCGGGAGACATTTTCACTTCTGTTTTGTACTGTAATAAGCTAACCGTTCTAGCTGGTGCAATGTGACGGAATGTAAGGTGAGAGAATAAAGATGGTTAGCACTTGTAATGAAATGAAGCACATTCCCAGCTTCTATTTATCGTACGGTTCTGCTCATTTGACTGCCGTGAGTCGCGGGTTTGGCTTTGCTGTAAGCAAACTTCTATAGTATGGAATCCGAGTCGCACGGAATTTGCGACTGATAATTGCTCTGATTTTTGGGGACTTGGTTCGTTTCACAACCAACATTTCTGCGAAAAAATGCGGTTTGGGAGTGTGATCTGGTGAGCAATAGGCGCTTTCGCGAAAGTTTTTCGAACTGACGAAAGTGCGAGCAGCAGCACGTGTTCAGTCGCTCGCAAAGAATAATTCCGCAATACAACGATCGCGATTCGGTGGGACATGATCCTTTCATCTCGCGCATGAGGCGGCGTAATGGACGCAAATCTGGGTGTCCGTCCG